CCCGCCGCTGGTGAACGGCAGCCTGGCGCTGGCCTTCCAGGGCACCGCGCCGCCGCCCAACTGGCGCCGGCCCGCCTACCTGCTCAGCGCCGACCCCAACAACACGGGCTTCGTCAACCAGGACTTCGTGGTGTGGATGCGCACGGCCGCGCTGCCCACCTTCCGCAAGCTGTACGCGCGCATCCGCCAGGGCAACTACTCGGCCGGCCTGCCGCGGGGCGCCTACTACGTCAACATCACCTACAACTACCCGGTGCGCACCTTCGGCGGCCACAAGCGCATCATCTTCAGCAGCATCTCGTGGATGGGCGGCAAGAACCCCTTCCTGGGCATCGCCTACCTGGTGGTGGGCTCGCTCTGCATCCTCATGGGCTTCGTCATGCTGGTCGTCTACATTCGCTACCAGGACCAGAACGACGACGAGGACGACGACGAGTGACGCCCGCTTCACACCCGCCCCCTCCCCTCTCCCACCAAACCGACCCCGGCATTCTCCTTCGTGGGATGAGCAGGCCAGGGAAAGGAATCCCCTCCGCCCCAGACGGCGCCCTAAGCACTTTGGCTGGGCTGTTGGGACTGCCAAGGGGAAGGTCTTGGGCATTTCCCCGGCATTCCACTCTTTAAAGGCTGCAACGTGCGAGAGCCTAAGGGAGGGTAAGGACTCCTAATCCGAAGGAGAAGCTGAGTCCTCGAGATACCAAGTAACTCATTCATGATCAACACCTGCTTATTGGCTCCTGGCTCTTGAGTGTAGAGCTTTTGCCACTAAAGTCGGTGTACACCCTCTCATCTCCCCCTCCCTACGTGTCTCCTCTCGCCTCTTCTCGATCTTCTCCTTTCTTTTCTTTTTTTGAGGGGTAGGAGGGAAGGTGTGGAGTGACCCTCAGGTAACCTGCAGACTGTGGTTCTCAACTTGTGGGTCACGATCCCTTTGGGGACCGCACGACCCTTTGACAGGGGTCGCCCAATTCATAACAGTAGTGAAATGACAGTTATGAAGTAGAATCAAAAATAATTTTATGGTTGGGGGGGGGGTGTCACCACAACACGAGAAACCGTATTAGAGGGTCGAGGCATTAGGAAGGTTGAGAACCACTGCTGCAGAGGCATAAGTGTGGGGGGGGGGGCGAGTGGGGGGGAGTCGAGACTATATGGATTAGGAGGCCCCTAACCCATATATTCTGACACAATCTCCCCAGAGATTCTGACCCAATAAAGCTGCGTTTTCCTTCAGGTAGGGCCATCCCTGCCCTTTTCAGAGAGCAGGTGGAATACTGGCAGTCTCCCATTTCCTCGTGTGTGATATGGGGCCGAAGCTGTTCAAGCCTCAGTCAGTCGCCGGAGCCCACACAGTGATTTGTGGCCAGAGGCAGTGTTGCCCACGGTATCGTAGGTCCGGCTCAGCACGCTTCCTTTAACAGAACGTGTTGAGCTATGTGTAGGCGGTTTCAAGTCAACAACCCCAGAGGGTCGAGTCAAAAGGACAGTGTCCCGGGGAGCCGCAGGCAGAGGTTATAGGGAGGCAGAACCAATGGCCAAGTCTTTTAACTATGGAATCACTCCTTTTCCCAGTTCACATCCCAGCCCTTTGCTCCACCACCAGAGCTCCTTCCCTTGAACACAGGAAGCTCTAAATGAGTTGTGAAATGAATGGGGAAGGGCTGCTAGCTAGTTCTATTAACGTAATTGGCATACAGGTTTGCAGGGCCAGGTTTGTGTCAATTAACTTAATATTTGAGTTAAAACTAAATGGGAAAGAAAACGGTAGAATTATGAAAATTGAGTATCAGCTTGTATAGCTTTGAGGGAAGGGTCTCACCTTAGAATCAGTAGTGTGTGGGGGGGTGGATCTTAGAGGGAAACTAACTTTCCCTAAACTCATCTCGACCTCTTCTGACCCTTGACTCAGCCCCCGTGCCATCAGATTGTTTGATATACTTAAAGAGAACTGATTTCATTCATACCTTTTCCCTTGGAGCAGAGGGAAAACAACTTTTAAATCCATGATATCAAAGGAAGGACTTTGTTTCCAGTTCTCATGTTTGCACGAATGCTAAGCAGTAGATTTGTTATGCCCACTGGAATTTCAAGGATCATGTGAACCTTGGAATGATATTAAATATTTGAATGCTGAATAATCATCTTAGTATGCATAAAGTTATTCTAAGTAGCAACTGAATGAAGAAATAAAACTTCCTTTATAGCAAAGGAACTTAAAACAAACAAAACCTTAAATGGCGTCATCTTAACCAGTGTATTTGCTAAAAGCACACAGTATGTGGTATTCTGTCATACAGAATTCTCAAGAACTTGCTCTCTATTAAAACCACTTCCCCACTGCTTTTTGTTAATGGCTTTTCAGGCATAATGCAAAACCTGAATTTTCATTTTTCTTTGTAATCAACGAAGTATTGAATTGTACTGCATTGGTTTTATTTGGCTCTTCTTTAATTCTTTGAAATATTAACATCATGCGTGTTTTCAGATCTTCAGGGGCAGTTGAGATTGAAGAGATTCTGCCCCCATTCTACATAAACCCAAAATAAAAATTTTAAAAGTGATTACAACAGGTTGCTCTCTCAACTTCTGAATGTGACACATTTGTATTGTCAGAGCATGTGTCCTAATCTTAGACTCTGAAAACATGGGCATTGTATGTATACAGTGTACTTTTCATTTATTATGAGTATCTCATAGAGCAGCTCATTTGTACAGGCCTTTATGTTGGATAAGAGAGTTGGCTACCCAGCCACCCTTTTTAGGTACATACTTGAGAGCCACAGTGCATTTCACTATTCGTTTTCAGAATAGTCAAGAGCGTTCTGTCGACAGCTAGAACATCATAAATGAGACCTTGAAAGTATGCTGGTTGAAATACTGAGTCGGGCTCTAACCTCTTTCTCTGGGTATTGAGAGGGAATAAAGGTTGTGTTTGTCTTGCCTCTGTTATCATGTTTGCTTAATTCTTTTGAACTATGGTCTTAAAGGCACAAACGGCATCAACGGCGTTGCTCATTTGTTAGCAGATTTGTATTGTAGCAGGAAAAGCATCGTTTAGAATAAGGCACAGTTCAAGCGAACGCGATCTTTGATAATGCACTTCCTGGAACAGAATTTGAGTTTATATTAACGTGTAGTCTGAATTAGATGATTATCAACTATTATTTGAATTTGGTAAACTTGATTTAAAAACTAATGAATGAAAATGATTAAAGAATATAATCGTGGTAGGTCTTTTTTTTTTCGTGGTATCGTCTTCATGGGAAAATGTTTCTCATTTTTGGATGCCAAAATATCAGAGGCTTTCCAAATGAAAATGGAACCCAGTTTCCCACGATGACCCTTGTGATGTAGCATTTTGTCTTCCAGCTCAAGATTCTGGTTTGGGGTTTGAAATCCCATGTTCTCAAAAAAATGTTCCCACTTGAAGTTCTACCTCTTAGGAGTGAGTTAGCAAAAAATAATCTCAACAATTTAACTGAAAATGTGCTTTGGCCGACCTTGTAACTTAAAACCACAAACAAAAGATCAAATAAAGTGGTCAGTTGGAACTCCCAAAACAACAGCTTAACAAGAAAGGCTTTTCAGGTATCTACAATCAAATCAACTAAGCAAACAGCCGGTTGTGCCTAGCTGAGATTCAGAATAGCCTGGAATTTCCTTTAACAGCAAATATCACTTTATAATTTAAAACTGTTGTGCACAGGGTTTCTATGAGTCATGACGAGCAGATGGCACCTAACAATCCTAGGGGATTCAGAAAGGTCATGGGAAAATCCCATTGTCTTCTAATTCCATTTCCCCGTGAACCTTTTTGAAAGCCCCTTGTACACAGTCTTTTACCCTCACCTTGAAACCCATTGCATTCTTCAAACCATTGGAGACCGCACCAATCTGGAGTACATTCTGCATGGCAGTTGAGAGAGTAGCAACATAAGCAACCAATTCCCTGTGTGCTTTAGATGTAAGTTATTAAGAGTAAGTTCCTTCTTCCTTTCTTTTTTAGGGTGGGGGGATTTCTTTGCAGCCCAGATTTTGTTTATGTGGCTAAAAGCATGATTGGTTCATTTTTAGATACCAAATTTTACAAAAGGGAATTTAACTTGCAGTCTTCCCACAAGGAATTTTTCTCTTAGTTGCCCTCCAACAAAAACAATCATTTTTTAAAACATTATTGAAACTGCCTGAAACACGCTCAGATCCCTAGGACATTATGCCGGAAAGCAATACTTTGTGTTCAGAATTTGGGAGAATTCTTGACTCTACATACAGGCATGCCCCATGATTTCCCTGATGAGACTGAATGTGTATTCAAACAGAGTTATGTCCCCTGCTCAATTTGCTGCAGTACATGAGTGACCACTGAGTGTGTTCATGGAAACTACATTACTGCACCATGCTGGCACGGGTTTATTTGATATACTCTGCTGTCCAGCTGACGTAGGACAGAAAAATCCTGGGGCTATGAAACTCAAAGATTGTATGGGCGCTAGAGAGAGCGGTTATTGTTGTTAGTAATGCTCAAATAAGCTTCATCTCCTGTTGACTCCAAGTATAGAAAATGTTGCCTGGTCCGATTCCATCTCCATGATGGTTGGCAAACTTGAGACCATCGTTGTAGCCCTGGTGTATTATGAGTGCCTTCCAACTTAAGAACTCATCTTCCAGCTCTGTACTGTTGTCTGTAGAGTTTTTGAGAAGTAGATCACTAGGCCTTTCCTCCCCATTTATCTTAGTCTAGAAGCACTACTCAAACTGGCCCACCATGGGTGACCTTGCTAGTGTTTGGGATCCTGGTGTAGCATCTACCAGCATCATAGTAGCTTCCAGCATCATAGCAATATGTAAGCCACCACAGTACATCTCATTGTCAGAGGGGGTAGAGAGAGAAAGAAGAAAGGAGGAATAAAAGGGAATATAAGGTCTAGAGCATGAGGTACTTTCTGAGCCCGTAGAGGTCTAGAAGGCAAGGTAGGGAGCCCAATGCAGAGGACAGGGGTCACCAATAGTACCCATTGATGACAAGGCCTTTGAGAAAATCAGTCAGCAGCCAGTGGCTCACCTTCTGAACTCCTTAGCTTGCCTTTTTGATCAATTTGAGTGTGATTTATCTTTTTCCTTAGAAGCAAAGGGTCTTACTATCAAGAACCTTAGCTGATAGCCCTGCCCTCCACATGGAGCGCTTGACTAAGTTCCCATGAAAGTGGTTGAAATCTTACTGCTGAAAACTGTGAATGATGTGCCATTAATACTGATGCTTTGTTCTTCTAAAAGGCCTTTGTTCTGGAAGTCCAAGGTGCTTACCACTATGTGGTCTCATTAATCTTATCCATCAACATGCATGAGCTTTTAGAAAGCCATCAAGGCCCACAATGTAGAAAAATCTCCCTTGTTATATTTTACTCAGTTTGGTTCAGAACTTTGCAATAGTAGGTAGTGTTCAAACAACAGCAGTGTAGCCTCTGGAGGATGCAGCCCAAGGGTCATTGAAATTGGTCACGTGAGTATTTTCAAAAGATGACTCTATTCATTCTTGCTTTGATTTTAATAAGTGAAAAATGTGTCCTATTTTTGTGAAAGAGTCCCAAAGTGGAGTGTTAACACTTCCTATTCATTTTCCTGTTAGTTTTCTGTGCTGTGGTGGCTTGTGTGTGGAAGTTATACCACCAGGATTTCCAATACCAGCTGGGTCACCCATCGTGTTTGGGTAGATAAGAGAAACAAATTCATAGACACTCATGCGTACAAGAAAAAGTTTTATATACAAGAGCAATTGAATATTGAGAAAACATCCCAGAGAAAACAGTCCAGATCAAGTCCATAAGTCCAATATTAGCCTATATGTCTGATACCAATCTATAAAGTCCTCCTCAGACTCAAGGAAATACATGCAATGACGCCGAATGCAGGAAGATCACAGGCCAGTGGGAAGTCTTGTGACTCCAGTGGTGTTATAAGCATCTCAGCA